GGCATATGGAAAACTCTCCGACCTTCTGGCCAGTACGAACTCGAGACATCCATACCCATGGGACCAATCCGCGGCGCTCTTGCTGAATTTACCCTGCCCATATCTCCCGTTCCATTACGTCGTCTAGCACGACAATCGATGGAATCAAGCAATCTTCCACCATCTTCTACCGCACTGTGGTACAACTCCACACCGCGACCCCCGGCGGGAGATGAGAACCGCCGAGACGGGCGGTTACTACTGTAGTAATCGTGCACGCGCCCTCTGCGAGCACAGTAGTACCTCCACGGCGTACACGTGACACAACCGTTGGCGCCGGTCGTGGCCACGGGCACACGTGTGCCACCCATCCGGTAAGTAATTAGCAATTAGTGGTTAATGGCACAAATTAGCCAATTTAGTACAGTAGCTGGTATACAGTATGTAACAGCTACTGTAGCGGGACAGGTGTCCTGGCGTCCCACTTAGGGGTTAAGACCAGGGGCACCTGCCCCGTTCCAGTAAACGGGGGCAGACTCGCCTCCCTTCCCTTTACGGCTTTTTGCTAACTCCGTCCGGTTTTACCTCTAAGTCTCAGGCTTCTAACCCGTGACCGGCCGTCCGGATCTAACACCACCGACCGGCTGCGCGTCACCGGCCACGTGAGCCTTCCCTCTTTTCGAGTCCTTCCGTACGGTTTGCGCTCGCGTGGGTTACCCAGCGGCGCCCGCTCCCTTACCTCTAACCCCCCTCGTTCCGAGTGGTCGGGACGAAGGTAGCTATACCACACGCACCACCAGCCGGCCTATCTTTGTTCCCGTTAGAGGCCTTTGAACCGCCTTCATCCGCAGTTCCGCTGCTACCGCCCTCCTCTTCTCACAGCGAGCCACTCGCAGTTGCCCCTTCACCCCGTTCGTCCCAAACCCCACGCGCGCCGTCGTCGTCCGATCCACATTCAGCAACAGCACCTTCAAAGCCATCCAGCTCTAGTAGAGAACCTCGTTTCGTTCCCAGCAAGTTAGAGAAAGCATGGATAATTTCACAATTATCTGCTCTGGGTGCTCCTGTTCAGAAAGGCAGGGCTCTGGAAAACACATGCCCTAGAGTCTCTACAAATGCGAGGCAAAGGCATGTGACGGATGCTATGATTATTTCCGAACAACAGTCGTTCGGCATGTCCTGGAGACGCTCTTATATGGCTGCAATCAAGCCAGCAAACGTTCTTTATATCGCATCTAAGGCTCTCAAGCAGGCGCGGCAGGTTGTTGTTGATGAAGACAACGCTGACGGAGTAGAATCAGCATTAGTGAGAGAGGGCGGGACTGATAGAGATGCACAACATTTGTTAGATCAATCTTTGCTTGATTACAAGCAAGAAGCCGCGAAGCGTGTGTCGTCAACGGAGGATGGTTCAGCAAAAATGTTGGCTCGACGCAAGGAAACGCGTAACGAGAAAGCGGCGCGGTTGGCTCGACGCAAATGGGAGTACGAAAAGATGAAAAAAGACGAGGTGGAGATCAAGAGGAGGCGGTTGGAGGAGCTTCGTGTTGCCGAGGGACATCACTTGGAGGCGCAAACTGCGACTGCAAACGCTGTCTCGGCGAGCGTTACCATTGCCGCAAAGCAGTGTGAGCAGTTCGGCTCCTTTTTCGCTCTTTACGCACAGAAAAACAATCTGAGTCTACCCCCGACAAGTACCGAGATTCCGTCATTCGCATCTACTGCGCCGCTCCGCATAGACCCGCGCCTCCTAATCGCACCATCGGATGATGCCGCACCACCAACCGAGAATTAGCCAGATTGGGTGGTCAATGAAAGCGCGCCACAGTCAGGGGACGCAAATGACGAATCAAGGGGATGATATGCCCCCGAACCGCGCGCTTCGCGACTGCGAGAAAATTCGATGTGCTTGCCTCTCCAGGTTCTCGGAACCAGAAGGAATTGTCAAGGGAATTTGTGGGGCATGCCCGAGAGGAACCTTTTATATCATTTATGGTGAGCTTTGGCGTTGCAAATCCTCTCCGGCCTAGTATCAGCGAGGAGGGGGGCTGTAAAATGCAAGGTTTGTCCCATTGTCGGCCAGTCACCAACATGAATCAGATTGGCTCCGAACAACGCGTCTCCAAAACGCTAAGCCTTGGCGTTGGCGAAAAGACTTGTGATGCTCTCGGATCTCAGAAGAATCGGAAGTAAACGTAGAAGTGTAAAGCCGGGAAAAGAGGAACACAACTAATCTAGACGTTGTGTAAGCAGAGTTTGGATTAGCGCCGCCTCTACCAGCATGCCGTCGCCGCCTCGGCCGGGCGGCGCCGGCACAGCTACGTTCTAACGCCTTGGAAAACGCCCCAAACAGGACATGGCCCTCCTCACCCCACAGCCTCCACAGCTGCAAGGTGTCAGGAAAATACAGCCCTTAGGGCTCTTCCTTCTCCCCACAACACTCCTGGTCGTTGGCTACAGACTCCCTCGCGGCGGCCAAGTTCTCTGCCGCGTGCGGAAAGCGGTTGCCGCTGGCGGTTGCTGCGAGCGTCTTCACGGCCGAGCTGACCACGACCGTACTAGTAGCCATGAGAAATTGCCAGTCCACTACGACGGAGGAGTCCGTGCACAGGTCGGGCAGCTCCCGTTACGCTGATATGAGCTTGTCGTCGCGCACCAATGTAGTGCGACGAGCGCGCGGCCCTCCTGCAGACGCGCGGCTACAGCGCCCACAACAACCGTGGTGTCCAACACGGAAGTCTACGCGAGCCGCGGTGTCCAACACGGCAGTCTACGCGAGCCGCAGCGACGATGCCTACTTGACGGTCGCCCGCCAAATGTTCGGGGCGGACGACAAGCGGGCATAGCAGCGGGGCATGGAAAAGTGCAGGTTGCGCTCGAGGGACTATGAGGTCCGTAGGCGGGCGCTGTGTTCAAGAAGAGCAGGCGAAGATATTGTTCACGCGTCAGGTGAGTGGCGTGAGTGTGCGTCTCTGCACCGCTAAACGGGATCGGGGCTGTTAGAGAAGACGGGGTGGTAGCGCTGAAAGACCGAGGTAAGCTGTGACGCGCGTGTTTCGGGGGTTTCTCGGGGTGGCGTCCGTCATGGCGGGGTATTTGAAGGGGCAGAGGGACAGGGGATGCGAGGGAGGAGCTGAGTGAAAAGGCAGAGAAGGAGGGAAGAGACGAAGAGGAAGGAGACGAAGAGGAAGGAGGTGAAGGGAAGGGAGGCCAAGAGGAGGGAGGCGAAGAGGAAGGAAGCGACGAGGAGGGAGGCGAAGAGGAAAATGGCGAGGAGAAACAGTCCTCAAATTTAGTCGGCGCCTGCCCGCCCAGACTTGCTAAAATAGTCATTTTCCGTACAGTTGGAAAATAGCATACATTTTAGTCGGAACTGGTCTTCCTAATTGAAACAGGATTTCGCGCACTTTCCTAAATATTCGCATATTTAGTTGCGATTTTCGTTAATTAAAAAGGGCTATTCAAAAGTGCGATATAGAGCTACCCCCCCTGTAATTGTAGCGGTCTTGACTCAAGATTTCGTGTTTGTCGGGGGGTATGACTTGATAAACGCCTCAAGACACGTGCACTTGTAGTAACTTATCGGGGCCGCCGCCACCACAAGTCTACAAGTATGCGACGAGTCCACGCGCGTCACGGAGCGTCAGCCCTCGCGCGCACCGGCCAGAGTCAGGGCGCAGAGTCAGGGCGCAGAGTCAGGGCGCATTCAAGGCACAGTCAGGGCGCATTCAAGGCGCATTCAGGGCACAGTCAGGGCGCAGTCAGGGCGCAGTCAGGGCGCAGTCAGGGCGCAGTCAGGGCGCAGTCAGGGCGCAGTCAGGTCTTCAGTCCCCCCCCCCGGCCGCCGGCACGCCTCGCCTGAACGCCCGAGTGCGCCCTGAGCTGCTGCGTTCCCCCCCGCTGCGTTCCCGCCGCAGCATCGCGCGGGGGAGCGCGGCCCCGTACCGCCTCGCCGACCTTGCGTCGCGAGCGCACCCCCAGCGGCGCGCGGGGTGCGAGCGCGTCCCATCCCAGCCCGCCTGTCATTACGCGTACGTGTACATGTGTATTCGTGTACACCTGCACCCGTAGGGACGGCGGAGGGTACTGCCCCTTAAGGGGCAGAAGGGGGATAGAAAGATAAAGGGAGGGAGGGGGTAAGGGAAAACTTGACAACTTCACAAGTTTTCCCTGTGCAAGTTCACACTGTGAAGTTGTCAAGTTTTCCTTACCAGTGTGAACTTCACATCCCAGCCCGCCCATCCCAGCGCGCACACTGTACCCGCGGTGTACGTCCCGTAGCTACGAGGCGGGCCCGGCATTTACTTGTAGGTGTCCTCCAGTATTGGTAACATGTCCTAATCGGAGGCGGAGCGGTCGCGGCGCGCCGGGCGAAAAATGCCCCCAAAATTCCACCCTCGCCTCCAGGCGCGTGCCCCGCGGCCATAGCAATAAACCGGCGGCGTTGTTGCAATCCGGCTCGGGAGCGGGCGCACCCCATCCCATCCCGCCGCGTCGCAGCGCCCCCCATTGCTCCGCCTCGCTCGACCGCTCGACGTGGCGCGAGAGGCAGCACCTTGCACCGGCTCGACCGTTGCCGTGAACGACGCCGTGTGTGGCGCCAGCGATGACGCTTGCGCAGTAGCCCACACCTTCCGCACCGCCTTCGCCCGAGTGCGCGCCAGTCCCGCCTTTCGTCCGCCCCCTCCCGCCGGTCTGCGCGGCGCGCGTCATGGAAGTGGACTTGCCGCAGCCCGCGCGCATCCCGCTCGCGGCCGCCTCTGCTGCCGCTTCGGCGCCGCCGGAGGGAGCGCCCGCGCCCGCCCGCGAGAACGCCGCCCCCGACGCGCCGGAGGGCGCCCGCGCCGCGCCGCTGGACAACCACCCGCCGCTGCGCTCGCAGCGCATGGCCGTGCCGCCGGACGTCAAGGAGCGCAAGCCGCCGCCCGCCAACGTCGTCGTCCTGGCCTTCGGGTCGCACGGCATCCGCTACGGCTTCGCCGTGGACACCACGCCCAGGCGCCTGTTTCCGGCCGTCGCGTTTCCGCGCCGCCCCGAGGCCATCGCGGATCCCGCAAAGGCCCCCGTTTGTATCCCCACCTTTCGCCGCCGCGCCCCGGAGGACGTGCAACGCGCCAGGGCCGTGTTTGCCGAAATGCGCAACACCATCGAGGTGGAGATGGCCCTGAGAGAGAGGAGACGCGGAGGAGGCCGCCCCACCCCGTGGACAGTCGTCATTGAACCCATTTCTGCACCGCAACCTGCCGCAGAAGCCGATCCTACCCCGACCGTCAAACAACCGCATCCGATTCATGGTAGCAAGGTCTTGGTTGGCCGCGATGTCGAGCTTCTTGTCCGCGACAAGGAAAAAGCAAAGCTGTACGATATCGTCTTTCCTATCTGGGACGGCAAGGTTCTGTTTGATTGCGGCGCACCGGCAAGTCTTATCCGTAAGGCTTTAGACGCGCTGATTGCTCACATTGTAGAGCAGCTCGCTGCGATTAGAAAGAAGGCATCGGAGAACGCCAGGAAAAAGAAAATGAACGGTGATGTCCGCATGGAGAACGGTGGTGAGGAGGTGAAGACTGAACAGCTCTTCACGAAAGATGGCGTGGCCGGCACCTTTGTAGCACTAGTGGTGCCGGAGACGTCGCAGAGGAGGGATACCGCAGAAATTGTTGACGCCGTATTTCGAGAACCCTCTCTACAGACTGCCGCTGTGTTCATTCACCAAAGTGCTGTTTCTTGCGCTCTTGGTGCGGGGCTTGCGACGTGCGCCGTTGTTGACATCGGGCACTCGGCTACCACCGTGGCTTGCGTTGAAGATGGGCTAATATGCGGCGAATCTCGCATCCATCTCAATTACGGCTCGTGGCATATTCAGAACGCATTCAACATGCTTCTTACAGACTACTCAAACCTTCGAGAAGTCTTACAAAAGGAACCCGGTCCAAACGGAAGGGTGCTCACGGACGTCGAGATTGCAGACGATCAGGTCGTGAGTATTGCCAAGATTGCAGAGCAGACTGGTGGCTTTAACGTGGACGAGAATGATACTCTGACCGTGGCTATGGTCAAGCTGCCAAGCGGACGGGCCATCAGGGTGAAACTTGGAGTCGGCATGCGAGCCCTCCCATGTTATGGGTTGATATATCCGCGAACTCTAAGCTCTGCGTCCACGGTTATGACGATGCAGAAGAACATCCCCAAACGCCGAGTTCAAGAAATGAATGCTGCGGACGATAACTACGTCAGCGATATTTTCAACGACCTGCGCCGCTCGTTAATTGCAACGAATGCTCTAGCCATCGGAACTTTTTCGAATGACCCAGGGCACATTGCTTCATCTACAGTTGACCCACAAGAAGCCTCGATAGTGGATGCTATTATTTGGTCTGTGGCGAAGGCGGTTGAAGTGAAGCGACCTGATCAACAGTCGAGAACAGCCGAGCATTATCGAAAATACCTCAATGCCATCGTTCTTGCGGGCGGGGGCGCCTCTATAGACGGAGTAGCTTTGGCACTGGAGGCCCGGATCAAGAAAGGGTTCCTAGATGCTGGACTGAATGTTGCCGATGTCACAGTAATTGATGGCGGAAAGGGAAAAGGAGATGAGGAATTGGCAGCTGCGGCAGCTGTGTTAGAGGATGTCACAGCGGAGGGAGGACTGGTGGATGATACTGATACAGCAAGTCTGCCGTGGAAAGGCGGGGCCGTCATGGTTGAGGCTGATGCTGTGAGTGAATACTGGATCTACAGACATGATTGGGAAGACCGCAATGTGCGTGCTCTTCGTGAACGGGCGCCTTTCTACTGGTAACCAGGAGCAGACGACCTCATCGCGAAAACCGTACCCGTACCTCTCAATCCCCCGTCGCCGAAGAAGAAGTGATTATAAAAATTTGTGTTGATGTTATGGCAATGCTACGCCCAGGGCAGTTGGAAGGAACGGATATAAATGTACATGTCTATAGGCCTCGGATGCGATTTGGGATTCAGCAATCTGTTGGCCTTGTGCTTTCGCCTCATTCTCCTTGGACATCCGGAACTCGTCGATCACTTCTCTGCACGCGCTTGGTTCTGACACGCCAACCCGGGCGGCGGTTGAGATGCAAAAGCAAGCTTCCGCGTAGGAATCTTCTGCATTCCAATCGATATCCTTTCTCTTCTCCAACTTCTTAATCAGACAGCGCAGCAATCCACGGACTGCGCATGGGCCCCCGCCCAACTTGTCGGCTTCCCGATACGCACCTTCACTTGACTGTATCATGGCCAATGGCCAACCGTTGATACGCGCATCTGCCTCGCGAATGACTCCCACTGCGAACCATCCCCACCAATTAGATGGATCACGGCTCACAGCCGATACAGAGGTCCAAGCCCCAACAGCAATATCACCAAGTTGCGCCGCCACAGTAGCGACAGACGCCTCGAGGGCAATGAGATGCTTTGTTGATACGACAGACTTTGCAACTCGGAGCGCTATCTCCAATGCGGCTCGCTGCACACTCTCCTTCTCTTGAATCGCTGCACAGTCCAAGACCAGTAAGGCCATAACAGACGGATCGAGTTGGCTTTGGCTCAACAGGTCCACTGCTTTTGATTCGTAAGCCGTGTCATTTTTCACAACTGCAGAACGCAGCATAGCAGCAATCGCATCTTGTACCCGCTTTTGCTTCTCCCAGGGTGAATAGTGCAAGGCCCTCATGTACGCGACTTCGGCCTGCGAAAGTGCAGTGCTTATCTCAGCCGCTCCTATTAGTTCCTGCATAAATTTTGGGTGCGACGTCCCGACCTCCACAAGTGTATCGCCCAGCTCTTTCCATAGACTTGACGGGTTCAGGGAGGGCATGTCCTGCTTGTGATCTACGAGTGTTTGCTCAAGGAGCTGAGCGGCACATATCCTGCCTTTTGTTGCCCTGCTGTAGCAGCCTGAAACCCAGTCTTTGGCAGCTATGTAAACTAACGCTTCACTCAAGTATCTCTTGATAGTCCCAGGGGCGCGAGAGTCTTGCAGAATAGACTCCATACTGTTTCTAGCGTCTGCAGATTGTCCATCTAGTTGCATTAGGACAGACTTTTCAGACTCCAACAGCAGAGCAAGTGATTCCCGAAGCTGTCCAAAGTTCCCGACCGTAACTGTGACAAAATAGGGAGGATTCTTGGCGAGTTGCAGAGCATCTTCCAGGCACGCAATAGCTGGTCCAAACATACCCTGTCGCATGTATGCCACGCTGAGCCCGCGCCAAGAATCAACGTCAATGAGTAAGTCATTGTCCCCGACAGTTTGCCCCACAGTCGTTCCGTAGAGCACCTCCCTTGCCCGACTGGACAGCTGAGGCTTTCCCTTGAGTGCATTGCGAAACGATATGCAAGCTTCGTTGTAGCGAATTTTCCTTATCCGCGACCACCCGATGAGGTTGTGGGCCCACCGCGCCTTTGGGTTTCGGCCGACAGCCTCACGGGCAACCAAGACGGCCTCACTCTCATTGCCTGAGTCCTTCAGCAACCGCGCCAAAGACCTCGCCGCCAGCGGGTGAGCCGCGTCCATCCCGACAGCCTTTTCGTAGCAGCGCATCGCACGGAGGAGGGACCTGTCGTCGTGGAGAAGTTCATGGCGCTTCTCAAAAATCCACCCCAGGTGCGCGAAAGGGTTTGGAAGACCCTTGTGCAAAGTCGCGGCCTCCATCTGACAGCCCTGCGCCTGCTTGACACACTCAAGGGTAGGCTGCTTCTGTGCCATCAACATTTGCCCATGCCTAGACTTGGCAATCGCCGCAAGCATTGCCTTTGGCATAACAAAGGAATCCCCTAGCGCTCGCGCATGCCATCCAAGCTCACTATCCTCCTCACGAATGCCCTGTACTTCCACCACCGCCCGATCTGCCAGGGCCTCCATCGTCTCCATATCGACGTCGTCCCCGACAAGCGCATCCGTCCACGTGCTTTCCAGCAGCCCGTAGCAGTTATCCGCCGCGCCCGCAGCCTCCTCAATAGCCATGGAAGTCTGCCTCGACTTGCGCCCATACGCCGCGACGCACGTCTGGACCATGCCCTGGTCCGCGGCGTTCTCAATCCACGCATCGCCCACGTCCCTCGCATACGCGCGCGCCTTTCCATACTCCGCCACGGCGTCCTTAAACTCCCTCTCCCCCGCCTGCGCAGCTGCCACAAGCAACCCGCAGAGCACGGCCAAGCGGTCTCTGCTCCCCTCCTCCTGCGCCATGCTCCGCCCCGCACGAGCCGCCATTCCGGCGAGCTTGTTCTCCCCCCTCGCCAGCCGCATGGCAGCCACGACCAGCGCCTGCGTACAGCTCGCCGGGCGCGGCGGTGCCGCGCCCGCCTTCATGGCAGACAAGCCCGCGGCCTCCCACGCCGCGGCGTCCTTCCCAACGCGCGCGAGCTCCGCCGCCATGACAAACCTCGCCCTTCGCGCGGCGCCGCTCTTCGGGAAGGCGTGCATCTCGCGGAAGGCGAATGCAGCGACGAGACGCGGGCTCATCCCGGCGCCAATATTAGTCTCAGCAAGGCGCAGCAGGGCCTCGTGGGCGCCGCATTCCCTCAGAAACTGGACCCCCCGCTCGTGCGCATGCTCCCCGCCTTCGCACCCAAGGACGGCGGCGTCCTCCACCGCACGGCGGGCGTCATCCTGGACGACAGCGATGGCGCTGCGTGTGCACAGGTCGGCGGCGCGGGCGAGGACGTCGCGGAGCGTGGGGTGCGGTTCTCGCAGGGCGTGGTTGCGCGCGGCGGGCGGCGCCGGGAGACGGGACGCGAGCAGCTGTGCGGCGCGCCACTCCGGGCGGGCGGCGAGGTGGGTCTGCGGGGCGGAGTGGCGGGGCACGGACAAGTGCAGGCGGACGGCGTCGTCGACGAGGGAGGGATCCTCCAGGGCGGCTGCGTGCATGATGTCCGCGGCGGCGCGGCGCGAGTATGGCGGCGGG